GATGGTGAAGTGGAACCAAATATAGATATCCAGACAGCACAGGGGAAGGCTCAAGATTTGAAGCCAATGATTGATTTTCTAAAGCGGGTGTTGTGCGCCCTGCTTGGGAGAAGGTGTCTAGTCTAAGCCCTGTGATAAAGCACTATTGGGCGCAATGGGACCAGTTAAAGCTTTAAGATAGTATTCTTGTATGGAGATGGGAAACTACCGATGGAAAAGTGACGAATTGGCAAACAGTTATACCGAGGAAGTTACGGGAAGTTGTGGTGCATCAATCCCATGATACTGTAACAGGAGGACATCTCGGAATCAAGAAGACATTGAGTCACATACGACAAAGATTTTATTGTAGTGCTAAAAGCATAAAGGATGCCCACCTTATGAAGAGTTGCCTGTGAATATGTCAGACTTTGTGGAAGTGTTATCAGAAAGGATGGATGATATTCATCATCAAGTGCGTTCAAACTTGAAAACGTCTGCTGATTCAATGAAGCTATGTTATGATAAGAGATCAACCAAAGTCAGCTTTGTACCAGGAGACAAGGTGTGGTTGTATAATCCCAGGAAGACCAAAGGGAAGTCCCCTAAGTTGTCATCTCCATGGGAAGTCCCATATGATATAGTGGATAATTTCTCAAACGTAACTTTCCGAATAAAATGTGGTCGGCGAGGTAAGCCAAAGGTGGTGCATGCCAACAGGCTTCGGCATTATCACGGTCCTGGACATTTCAGTTGGAATGAAGTTAACAATAGAACAAACAATGCCGCTGAAGACGTGTCACCTGAAAAAGCCACTGTCAAAGAAGAAATTCTACCCGGTTTTGAGAAGGGAAACATGAAGCCCTTGATGAAGTTACTACCACTGATGTGACTATTACCGATAATACGACAATTCCTGATGGAGCAGATGAACCCCACGTGAAGCATAAGCAAACGAGACGGAGACCAGTATGGAAGAAGATACGTCCCGTAAAATTAAAAGACTTTGTTGAATTTTAATTTTGTGTTTGTAAATTCTGTACATTTAATTAAGTTATTGTTAATTATCTATTGGTTTAATGTAAGTGGCTATTGTTCTGGACGAACAATACTAAGGAAGGGGCAGTGTTACGACAGCGGAAGTCACGAGATGCTGGTAATGAGTTTCTAGAAGGATCATGACTATTCCTGGCAACTCTAGTCTTTTCTAGGCGCCCTCTATTTTAGTATATAAGCCCGGCAAATAATGGCAGATAGATAGAGATAGAGACAGATAATTGAGTCAAGTGAGCGTAGTAATGGTAATATAAAGTGTGTGTTTTGTTATCGAGATTGCAAACGTATTGACTGTGGAAATTTTGTGTATTATAAAGTTTTATCGAGAAAGAATAAACTAGTTTTAATTAGGAAAGGACTTGTATCGTTGAAGTTGTATCGTCATGCTGCTCTAACCTTCTGTATTTTTCTCATTGCTTTAATTAATAGAGGGAATGTTTTAGACTGCTGACGTGTGTGTATATACTTATGCATCGATAAAGTTGATTAGATAGATAGATCTAGACTGCGTGACTGTGAATTTAGCCATAAGGAGCATATAGTGGCGATTTTTCAAAGTGAATTACCACAGATTGTATTGTAATAACAGCGTAGAGAAGAATAATTTGTCTTCTCAGTTGTGTTCTAAAGTAATTGAACCAGACTGTGTGGACTTTGATGAAAAAGAGGCAATTATTTACAACTGTGTTAACAAACAGTTATAGTGATGATTTTAAATTGAAATTATTACAGATTGTATTGTAACAACAGAGTAGAGAATAATAATTTTTCTTGTCAATTGTGTTCTAATGTATGTGAAGAAATATATGTGGACTTTCGATGAAAAGAGACAATTATTTATAGCTCTGGATACAACTGTGATAACCAACAGTATAATGAACATTTTTATATTTGTTTGACTTCTTTGGATATATAATTTTAAAACAAGAGGACTATGTGCTATTTGTTTATTGTTGAAATTGATTGCCAACAAATCACAGACACCTTCTGTAAAGAATCCAGCCCATCCATACAAATTAAAACCTGACAATAGTATACGGATGATGGCATCTTGTTCCTTGTTGTTAATGGCTGTCCTCTTGCTTGGGGAATTGTTTTTTAGGTTGGTGCTTGGGTGAATCCATTGGTGGCTCCAACATTGATGATCCTCTGGAAGTAGTCTTGGAAGTAACTCTGGGCTCTACCACAGGTTGAGGTTCTACTGACAAGTTCTTCTCTCGAGTTACCCAGTTGGCCATTCTTTCACTGATGTATTTCCAAAGGTGACTGCTTATAAATATTCTCTTCTGAATACATGATCAACTTTGGAGTTTTTCTTCTCATGACAAGAACTCTTCAGCCATACCATGTTACCTCATTGGAATCCAGTTTTATCAGTACTTACAGCATAGCCATCTTTTGCTTTATTACAAGCTGATTTAAGTCATGTACAACACCTTTATTCTCCAGATCTAGGACAGCTCTTCCAACCACTACACCCCCACTACTTGACAAACAGTTAATGCTATCAACACCTGATATGAGTATCTCACTTTTCAATGATACAATGAGTACTGTTCCTGTTTTCACTGGACATTCAAATTTCTGGTGTAGCAATTGCAATGTAATGCACAAGGATTTCCTGGTCATGGGATGTGAAGCTATTCAATGCTAGCCTAACATCCTTGTTACCTCTTCCACTTAAAGTGGACAGAGGTTACGTTTTCTCTTCTGTGTATGTCTGTGTTTTTCAGCAAGATTTCTCGAAAACGGCTAAATGGATATGGACAAAAGCTGTTATTCATTTGTACTACGAGCCTACTAAGAAGTGATTAATTTTGGAGTGTCAAGGTCACAAGAAGATCACAAAAAAATGTATATCTGTTATCATGGAGTCCAATTTTTCACACTATTTTTACTCTATAACTCTGTCGAAAATGATCGTATTTTGGTAAAACTTGATGGAAATATGTAGAATATTATCCCTCATTGTCGTACCAAAAATAATCCTTGTCCGTTGATGACGACAGACATATGCACCATTCCATGCTGCATGGTGGAGGCATGCACTCTATTGAGTGGCTCTAGTTTGTGCATGAACTCAGCTCCCAATAAACATTCTTATTTGGTGTTAATCACACATACATCATGAGTTACAGAGAAGCCTCTTACAGCATAATTTTCAACTTCTCTTTTGCTGGAACTTCATTTACACCTACTTTCACATCCATCCCTCTTCTTTCTTCATATCTGGAGGCAGTTTCAAACCCTTTATTACCAAATTGGACTGAACAATTGTAGCTGTGAAACCAATGTAAATCATCATACTACAAGGTTTTTCATGAATGAACCCATGACTAATCGACGATTCTTCTCAAATAGTGCACTTTTTCTTTCACTTGGGATAGAGTACTCACAGCTGAAATTTTCCACATAAATTACACTAATTCGCGATGTCGAGATAGCTCTGTGTTGTTTCTTTGATCTGGTTTGGCTCTGTCTCTCTGGTTTAATAACAGCTGTTGACCTCTAACAATCTCTGCTGTAATGACCAGGTTTACCATATATACAATTAACAAAAAAATGGCAAAAATGACAATGCTAAAAAATACAGAAACAAAGAAGGATGAATACACAAAATTCACTACATAAGTAGACAAATCTTTCCAAGAATAACTTTTATCTACAGCTAAATGTTGAATTCCTGTCAGTTGCATGAATTAATGTTTGAACAAAAGCATTTAAACTGAATAGTGATATACAGTCTTAAAGTAGCTAATAATCATAAGCTTATAAGATTGACTCAGTACTTTCTGTCTACTTATGTTGGGATTTTTTGTGTGGTTTTGTGTATTAATCCTTACTTTGTTTCTGTACTTTTTCGTGCTGCCATCCCTATATCATACTTCATTTTTGCAAATTTTTTATTACCTATTTCCCCTCTTTTTTTTAAAACATCTTCATTAAATTAGATTAATAAGTGAACATTTGTTTTATCTTTATAATTCAATGACAAAATATATTGTTAATATCATATCAGTTTTGTCAATTTCTCTAACTTTGGATTACACTGGGGGATAGTAAAACTGGAATAATTCCTCTAGGATGGTACAAGTAGCCCAGAGATCTGGACTGATGGTAATAGGATATTTACAGAATCCACTCTTTCCAACTTCACTCCAACTCACTGCATGTGCATACAATCGACTCCATCACATGTTAGGGTCATGCCAATTAACAGTGATGACATCATACAGATCCTAGACAATGAAGTATGATAACATGCATACAAACACAGCTGCCAGACACGGCCCCACTGAAAATTTAAAGAAAACTAGACTGCTATAAAATGTACTGTTCTGATGATTAAGTAACTGGTATTGTTGCGTCAGCGAGGTCACGTGACTCGTTCTCTCGAACCTTCGG